CGGAGGCCTCGGGGGGCCCCCTTGCGAACTTGTTGTTGGAAACTTTTATTTCTTCGAACTTCAAAAAGATGAGTCGAAACTGCAGCAGCGGGGGCCCCTTTTTAATTCGAAATGACAGAGTCAAAGAGCTGCAGCAAATGTACTTTCTCTTTTCCAAAGTGCAGGGCGCGCTGGCGGAGCTGCGCGACGTCTTCAAGCAAGTCATGCAGCAACAGGGTCCGGAGTTGCTTCTGTCTGCATTTCTTCGTTTGTTTTGTTCTTTTGTTTATTGTTTGTTTTATTCTTTTGTTTCTTTTGTTTTTTATTTGTTTTGTTCTTTTATTTCTTTTGTTTGCGTTGTTTTCGTGCCTGTGAGCCCGGCCGGGCGCGCTCGCCGTCTTCCTGCGAGTCACGCAGCGGCAGGGTCCGAAACTCCTTTATTTGTTCGTTTACTTGTTTATTTTTCCTGTTTATTTGTTTATTTTCTTGTTTATTTGTCTTTTTGTTTATTTGTTTGTTGTGCTTCGTTTTACTTGTCTGTTTCGCGTTGTTCCGACGCCTTTTGAATGGGTCTGGGCGCCCGCGCCGAACTGCACGTTCAAGCAAGGCATGCAGCGACGAAATCTATTTATTTATCCGTTTGTTTGTTCGTTTTACTTATTTATTTTGTTCATTTTATTGTTTTATTTATTTATTTGTTTCATTTGTTTTGTTCTGATGCTTTTTGAATGCGTTTTTGCGCTCGCGCCGAACTCCCAGGGGTGTTTTCAAACGAGCAACACGGTGGTCCGAAGTTCAACTTTCTTCTCCTTTTGATCTTTTATTTATTATTTATTTATTTATTTATTTATTTACTTATCTATTCATTTATTTATTTATTTTGTTGTTTTATTTCTTTTATTCATTTGTTTTGTTTTGACACTTTTTGAGCTGATTCGGATTTGGTGGATTTCGTTTGGAGCGGTGTTCTGAGGTGACTCCTTGAATTGTTTGTTTTCTTCTTTTAATTCTTTTTAATTCATTTTTATTCTTTTTATTTATTTTAATTCCATTTATTTCAGTTTGATTTAATTTATTTCACTTTATTCTATTTTATTCCATCTTATTTCGTCTTTATTTCAGCTTATTTCAGTTTATTTCATTTCGTTTATTTATTCCGTTTCGGTTCACATCATTTTGTTTCAATTCAATTAATTCAATTTCAATTTTAATTTCAATTTCAGTTTTTGGATTTATTTCGTTTTATAATTTGAAAATTGAAAATAATTTATTTCTTTTGTTTTCCTTTTGAGAGCCCACTGCGGACTTTTGCAGAATTGCAAAAGAGCACTTTGTTGAATTTTAATTTTAATTTTAATTTTAATCTAAAATTGAATTCATAATTGAATTCGAAATTGAGTTCAAAGTTGAATTTCAAATTGAATTCAAAAGCTTTGAAATTGAATTTGAATTCAGAAGCTTCGAATTTGAATTTGAAAGTTTGGAAATTGAAATGAACTTGAAATCGAAATTGAAACTGAATTTGAATTTAAAAGTTGAATTTGAATTTAAAGTTTGAATTTGAATTTGAATTTGAATTTGAATTCAAACATTTCGAATTCGAATTTAAAAGTTTTGAATTTGAATTCAAAAGTGTTGAATTTGGAACTTGTGAAATGAAAAATCTTTTTTTCGTTTCTGAACTTCTCAGGAAACGCGTTGCTGGCGGACAGTTCTCTGGCGAAAGACCCAAATGCATTTGTGACTTCTTTTTTGAATTTGAAACAAAAGTTTTCAAAAATAATCAAAGAGGCTTTTGCAGAAGACCCCGAAATGCATGCAGCCATGAAAACAGTTCGTCTTTTCTTTCTCTTTCCACTCTTTTTGTTCTTTCCATTCTTTCGCCTCTCTCTCCCTCTCTAGATGTTTATTTCCGTTTATTTTCTTTTTATATTTCTTTTTGCTCATTCAAAGGCCTTTTATTCACCAGAATTTTGTTCGGCTCTCCAGGTGTATGTACAGCTCATTTTGCTGCTACTTGCAAAGAATGTTCTTCTCTGCTTTTTCTTTCTCCCTTTCTTGCATCAAATTATTATAAATATAAATACAAAGGACTTTATAAGTTTAAATTTAAATTTAAATTTAGATTTGAATCAATTATTTGACAGGAAATATACCAAAATGAACAGATGAAGTGCATGTTTGTAAATGCAAGTGAAAGCCACTTGTTCGAATGAAAACGAATTCGAATTCAAATTTGAAAAGAAATTTATAAATTAAAAATAAAACAAAATAAAATATTTGAATTAAAATGAATTATTGCAATTATTGCGGATTATCACAAACGCGAAATGGACAAATATTTGCAAATCTGAACGCAAAGCAAACGCCATTTTCTTTCTTTTTTTCATTTCCTTCTTTTAATTTATCTAAATTTATTTAAATTTATTTATATTTATTTTAATATAAATCATTTTAATTCCATTTAAATCCCCGTTTGTATCTTGTTCTCCAAATTAATTTCCTCTTTTTCCACTTCGCGCAAAAGCCTTTTTTTGCCGCTTTTCTTCCCTTCTTTCCCCGAAACAACTAAATAAATAACTGGCAACAACTGGGGCTTATTTAGAGAGAAAAAGGGAGTTAAAAAGAGCTAAAAAAGACCCAAAATGCCTTTTTTTTGTCAGGCGTTTGAGGGTTTCTGGGGCGGAGACAGCCGGTCTGCGGGGTACTTGGCGCTGTTTGTGGACGGCTTTATGCGTCGGACTTTTCGAAATTTAAATTCCGACGAAGTTCAAATTTCTTTCCAACACTTTTTGGCTCTTTTTCGTTTTCTCAGAGACAAAGATGTCTTCGCAGCTCACTACAAATCTGTAGGACTTTATTGTCTTTTTATTGATCCCTTTTTTGTTTATTTATTCATTTTATTTATTTATTTGTTTATCTTTTCGTCTTTGCAATTTCCACCAAGTCCAAATTTCTTTCCAACACTTTTTGGCTCTTTTTCGTTTTCTTAGAAGTGTCTTTGCTGCTCATTATAAATCTGTACGACTTTATTTAATTGTTTAATTATTTACTTATTTATTTATTTATTTGTTTATTTTTATTCACTTTTTTTATTTGTTCATTCAATTTATTTATTTTTTTTTCATTCATTTGTTTATTTATTTGTTTGTTTGTTTATTCGTTTATTTGTTTGGTTTTTGTCTGGTTTTTGTTTGGTTTTTATTTATTGCTTTTTGCCTTTTATTTATTGTCTAATTATCTTTTATTTAATTGTCTTTTGTTTATCATTTAATTATCTTTTATTTGTTATTTAACTGGCTTTCATTATTTATTTAGTTGTCTTTTATTTATTGTTTAAATGTTATTTAATTATCTTTTATTTGCTATTATTTATTTTTTTAATTATCTTTTATTCGTTGTTTATTTATTATTTATTTATCTTTTATTTATTTATTATTTAATTGTCTTTTGTTTGGCCTTCGGTGAGTTTTAGTTTCAGTTTGTTTGAATTAAAAACAAAAACAAAATTAAAACCATTTCAAAGTCCATTTCAAATAAAGCTGCATCATTTGCTGCTGCTGCTGCTGCTGCTGCTGCTGCAGCTGCTGGCGAGGCGGCTGCTGCAGAGCCGTTCGGGAAACCTGGACACAGAAAAGCTTTTTGTGGCGAAGCTGAGTGCAGAATGTGGTGAGTTTTAAATCAATTATTTATTTATTTATTTATTTATTTATTTATTTAAAATCAATTTAATTTGATTCATTTAATGCATTTAATTTAGTTTATTTTGTTTAGTTCGTTTTAATTAATGGGTTTTTATTTTTTCCTTTTAATGCGACTTTTGCAAAAGTTGAGTTGGTTTGCAAATTAGTTGCAAACAGAATTCAAATTTCACATATTAATTAATTCAACAAACAATTAATAAATTAGTTAATTAATCAGTTAATTAATTAGTTAATCAACTGAACAGTTAATTCATTAATTAGTTCAACAAACAATTAATTAATTAATTAGTTAATTAATCACTTAATTACTTGATTAACTAATCAATCAATTGAACAATTAATTAATTAATTAATTAACTGTAACATTTTGAAAGTTGTTTAATACTTCGATTGTCCAAATTTTCTGTGCTGCTGCTGCTGCTGCCGCTGCTGCTGCCGCTGCTGTTGCTGCTGCTGCTGCTGCCGCTGCTGCTGCTGCTGCTGCTGCAGGGCAGCAGTACACGAGCAAGCTGGAGTCGATGTTTCGGGATTTGTTTGTTGCAAAACAAATCAAAGAAGCTTACGCGAGACACTGTCTTTATGCCAACAAGTAATTTAATTATTTCATTCTATTTATTTGATTTTAACTTTTTTCATTCAATTTTGTTTGTTTAATTTTATTTAATTTTATTATTTTATTTTTTTAATTGCCTTTCAAACAAGTACTTCTATTTAATTCAATTTCATTGTTTAATTGCTTTTCTAATTTATTGTTTTTAATTTAATTTCAATTCCACTTCTTTAATCAGCTTCCTAGCTAGCCACCCAGCTAGCTAGCTGGCTAGCTAGCTGGCTGGCTAGCTAGCTATCTAGCTATCTAGCTAGCCAGCTGGCTAGCTGGCTATCTAGCCACCTAGCTAGCCAGCTAGCTAGCTAGCTAGCTAGCCAGCTATCTAGCTAGCTAGCTAGCCAGCTATCTAGCTAGCTAGCTAGCTAGATAGCTAGTGAGCTAGCTAGCCAGCTAGCCAGCTAGCTAGCTAGCTAGCTGGCTAGCTAGATAGCGAAGCGCGCCAATGCATCTAAACCACAACAAATGCCGAAGTGCAGCAGCAAAAGAATTTAAAAGTAAATTATTTTATTTTATTTTGTTTTATTTTATTTTTTATTTCATTTCTCAGAACTCCCACCAATCCCCACTGGTACTATGCGAACTTCTTTGGGGTAGACGCACAGCCCACTGCTGCAGCAAGCAGCAGCAGCAGCAGCAGCAGCAGCAGCAGCAGCAGCAACAACAGGTCTGCGGACATTGGCGGCAGCGGCCACGGAATTATAGGGACCGCCGCCGAGGGACCCGCAGCAGCAGCAGCAGCAGCAGCAGCAGCAGCAAGCTCGGGTTACTGCTCGGCGGGCCACCCCTCGGACCTGCAGAGCGCAGCAGCAGGAGCCACCGCAGCAGCAGCAGCAGCAGCAGCAGGCGACCCTCCTGCGGGGTACCACGGGCTGCGGGCGTCAAGTGTCTGTACACCTGAATTTGAATGCACAGTGCTGACGCATGCAACCTGGGCAGCAGCAGCAGAACCTCTGACCAATTTGCTGCTGCTGCCGCCGCTGCTGCGGCCCTGCGTGGATTCTTTTGTCTCCTTTTACCTCAGCAGACACTCCGGCAGGGTCCTCAAGTTCATTCTCGAAGAGGTCTGCTGCTGCTGCTGCTGTGCTGCTGCTGCTGCTGCTGCTGTGCTGCTGCTGTGCTGCTGCTGCTGCTGCGCTGCTGCTGCTGCTGCTGTGCTGCTGCTGCTGCTGCTGTGCTGCTGCTGCTGCTGCTGCTGCTGCTGCTAGCGACAGCAGGTTTCTGTGAAGTTGAGTGGGTGTACGGTGGGGCTGCGGTGTACGTACACCTCAGGGGCGCGCAGTGCTGCGGGGCTGCTTCGCGTTGGGGCCTCACGAAATAAATTGTTCAACTTTGCAAATGTGCATTTTATATTTATTTAATTACAATAACTCTTTGACAGCAAAAGAAACACTTGAAAAGCTCGACGCAGCAGCAGCAGCAGCAGCAGCAGATCCCGCTGCAGCAGCAGCAGCGCCTGCTGCAGTAGCAGAAATCAAACGGCATTTGCTTTCCCTCTGCACCTCCAAGTGCAGGTGAGGCATTTTTGTTTATTTATTATTTAATATTTGTTTATTATTATTTATTTATTTATTTATTTTTATTAATTTTGTTTTATTTTTCGTTTTTGCAGAATTTTGAACCGGCGCCGTAGTGACGGCCAAATGCCCACAAAGGAGCTTCAGGATGAAGACATTTTAGAAGTACTTTTTATTTATTTATTTATTTATTTCATTTATTTATTTATTTATTGTTGTTTATTTATTTATTTATTTATTTATTTGTCACATTTATTTATTTCTTATGATATATTACTTATTGTTTATTTGTTTGTGCATTATTTATTTATTCGTTATCCTACATTTACTGTTTATTCATTTACTCACTATTTATTTATTTTTTATTGATTATTATTAATTAATTAATTAATTAATTCATTTATATATTTGTTTCAATATAGTTATTTCTTCACTTCTCTGTTTGTTTGTTCTGTACACCACCCATTATGAGCTAATAAGTAAATAAAAAATAAATAAAAAATGACCAAACGAACAAACACATAAAAAATAAATAATAAGTGCAAAGAAACAAGTAAAAATAAGTAAATGAATAAATATAAACAAACAAACAAACAAAAATGAATACATAAATGGATAAATAAATAATAAACGATAAATAATAGAAAGTAAATTATTTGTGAAGTGTGCAAGCCTGCTCTGGGGTGTCTGTACAGCTGGCGCACTTGGCGCGTTCGTTTTTTTCGTTTTCGGTTCATTTTTTTGGGTTTTTGTTGGATTTGTTTCGTGTTTTTGGACATTCGAGTTGGTTTTTGGATTTTGGATTCATTTCCGTCTCCAAAATTGTCTTTTTCGGCCTTTTTTAGGTCAATTCCGACTTCCACTCGCCCCACTTTTGCGTCAAAGTTCCTCTTCTTTCTCCCTTTTCCTCCGGCCTCCAACTCGAGCTCCAGGCGGGCCCGGACGTCCCCGCCAGTGTCGAGCTCGACAGAAACCATTTGTAATTATTTATTTATTTTTTATTTGTTTTACTATTTATTTATTTATTTATTCCTTTCTTTCTTTGTTTATTTTGTTTGTTTGGTTGGTTGGTTGGTTTGTTTGGTTTGTTCTTTTGCGCGTTTGCTCCGTTTGTTGTTCTGTTTTTTTTATTCGTTTATGTCTCTTGTTGCGTTTATTCTTTTTTTTCTTTTATTCTTTTAATCCTTTTATTCTTTTATTTCTTTTATCTGTTTTATTCTCTTATTTGTTTTATTCTTTATTTAATTTATTCTTTTATTTCTTTTATTTGTTTTACTCTTTTATTTAATTTATTCTTTTGTTTCCTTTATTGTTTCTTTTATTCTTTTATTTCCTTTATTCTTTTGTTTCTTTTATTCTTTTGCTTTTTTTCCTTTTATTCTTTCATTCCTTCTATTTGTTTTATTCTTTCATTTCTTTCATTCCTTTGTTGTTTTTATTCTTTTATTCCTTTCATTCTTTTATTTCCTTTATTTGTTTTATTCTTTTATTTGTTTTATTTTTTTAATTTACTCTTTAAAACCCAAAGCGCGGTGGGCGACAAAAATAATTATTATTTGAACTAATAGAATTATATAAATAAAAGTAATAATCATTTGAATTAATATAATTATATTTATAAATGAAGTTATATATATATATATGTGTGTGTATATATGTATATATATATATGCACATTAACTATTTGAATTAAAACAATTAAGGCTATGAGTTGCAATTATATGTATATATTTATAAAACAATAATAATAATAATGATTATTATTATTATTATTATTATTATTATTATTATTATTATTATTATTATTATTATATTTATTTCAGGGTAGAAGCAGCAATAGTGAGGGCCCTGAAGAGCAAGCAGCAAATGCTGCATGCGGATTTGGTGGCTGAGGTGTCTGTACACCTCGCGCCCCGCTTCGCGCCCTCCGCCGCTCTCATTAAAAACAGAATTGAAGCTTTAATAGAAAGAGAATACATCCAAAGAGGGCCCAAAGACATGTAAGTTCAATTAAATTAATTATTTCTTTATTATCTATGTATTTATTTATTTATTTTGGCCTTTTATTTTTGAATCCGCTGTTTTCCCGTGCGGCTGCTGCAGGCGGATGTACACCTACGTGGCGTAGAGCCCGCAGGACGCTGGGACGCGCTGCTGCAAGGGTTTAGGGTTTAGGGTTTAGGGTTTGGGGTTTAGGGTTTAAGGTTTAGGGTTTGGGGTTTGGGCTGGGCGTCGGGAACGTGTCATTACGATGTGTTCATTCGGGTGTCACTACACCCCAACTCTGGGCGGGGAGGAGACGAAGCAGCAGCAGCTGCAGCAGCAGCAGCAGCAACAGCAGCAGCAGCGGTCTCCTTCGGGTCACGTTGCCCTTCGCGTTTGTGTTTTCTTTGAGTTGAATGGAAAGTTTGAGTTGGGATTAGTTGAGTGTTTGTTGAAAAGTGGAATTAAAAAAGAAATAAAATAGAAAATAAATAAATGAATTAATAAACAAATCCAGTTAGTTATTTGCTTCGCAGCAGCAGTTGGAGTGGTTCTTTGCTTCTTCGAGTGTATCGACACCTTTCTAATCGGGGTTCTAAATGCTGGGGTGTACGTACACCAGAACTGCATGCATGCGCGTATACTGGATTTGCGGTGTACGTACACCCGTGGCCTCTGCGTGCATGCAGCCGATGTTTTTGTGTTTATATTTGCATGTATTTATATATATTCATATATATTTATATATATTTATGTATATTTATATACATTTGTGTATATTTATATATATATTTATATGTTTGTGCATATATATATGTATTTATATGTTCTTATATGTCTTTTGCACAATTTCACACTTTACACTTTCTTCCAATTTGCACATTTGTTTCTTTTCCGCATTTTGCATTTAATTTGCTTTCTTTTCTGGAATTAATTAAAAGACAAAAGAAAAACAAATCCGAGAAAGTCGCAAATAGAATAGAATTCCGTTTATTGAAGTGCTTTTCTGCAAAGCAGCCGCAGTCTGGGGTGTACGTACACCGCGCCGCAGGGGCCTGCACAGCCACAAAGCTCAAATTTGATTTACATTTATTTATATTTATTTTCCAAAGCCTCCATCTGCATTTATAAACAAAAACACTATGAAAATTAAATGCATGCATGCGAATTTTCCCTCTGCATTTAGAAAACGCGAAACACTCGGAAATTGAAATGCATGCATGCAGGTGGATGTACACCTGAGCCCCCAGCGCGCCAGTTCACACGCATGCGAATTAAAAGAATATAATTCCGATTTATTCGAATAATTATGATTTACTATTTTAAATTCGCATTTATAATTTCAACTCTTGTGATTCTAAGGACAATTGCAAGTAGAATTGAGGTGTATCTACACTTCGGGGCCCCAGAGGCATGCAGCACTTCGCCTTGCCCTTTTCTTGTGGAGTTTCTTCTTGTCTTTTTCTCCTGTTTTCTTTTATTCTTTTTCTTTTATTCTTTTCCTTTTGTTCTCTTTCTTTTATTCGTCTGTTTTATGCTTTTTATTCTTCTTTTATTTTTTATCGATCTTTTTGCTTTTCGCCAGCTGCTGCGTGCGACGGGGCGCTTCTAGTTAGCTATTTGAGCTCGGGAAATAAAAAAAGATTTCTGAAACTTCAAATGCATTAAAACGCATGCATGCGCGCCTCCAGGTGTACGTATACCTCGCCTGCGCGTACACTGGAGCATGTTTGTGGATATTTAAAAGCCCCGTTTCGGAGTTGGAAGCGAAAATAAGTGGCAAATAAGTGTTCATTTCCTTCACATTGCCTTTAAGTGCAAAAAGAATAAATAATAAACAAAAGTGAAAAGCACAAAGTAAATGTTTTTAAAACACTTTTGTGCTTTTAAAGAAGTGGTTGGAAGCAGCAAGTGCACTGGGCGTGGACTGCATGCAGCAGGTGTCTGTACAGCGCAAACGCGGGCCCCACAAGACTCTGCGGTGTATATACACCTCGAGTGCTGCATGCGCATGCAAAGTGCCTTTCTGTCTTCTTTAGTTTTGTGGCTTCGCCCTGACTCCTGGTGTATGTACACCCGGCCCCTTTTTGCAACAGCAAACGCTGCTGCTGCTGCTGCTGCTGCTGGGGCCACTCCCTCCTTCCTTCCATAAGGAAGCAGCAACAACAAAGCTAGCACTGCGGTCTTTTGCTGCTCATTTGCTGCCCAGGATGGCCCTCGATTACGGCTTAGGGTTTAGGGCTAGGGTTTAGGGTTTAGGGTTAGGGTTTGAGAGTGAGAGGAGAGAGAAATGCATTTGTTAGCTAGAGAGAAGTTCTACATTTTCAGAATTCTCTTTGCTGCAGCTGCTGCAGCTGACTCAAACCAAACCAGAGAAAGATGAAATAAATAAACAAATTGAATATTTATGTTTTAGTTTGTCTTTGTGTCTCCGTTTTGCTGCTGCTGGCAGCGGAGGCAAATGGCCCATCTTTGCTGCAGTCTGCAGTTTGTGCTGCAGTGTAGATACAGGAAAGTGGCGAAGTCGCCAGAAAACATGAAAAAGAGAAAATGAAGAAAAGTTGAAAGGAAGAAATCGGGGTTTAGGGTTTATTGCGAGGATTGGGGGCTAAAAGGGTTTAGGGTTTAGGAGAACTCAAGCAGCAGTGTTGGCAATTTGACGAGATTTCAAAAAATTCAAAAGGGATAAAAATGATGAAAATAGAGGCTGTGGACTTTGGGGAATGTTGGCGGTGGACTTACCGCGGGGAGCGGGAGTACTTTTTTTCTCTGAAGCTGCGAAACTGGAAGCGACAAGATAATATTTGAAATTAAAGAATAAATAAAACAAATTGCAGAAGTTTATTTGATTTAAATTCAAAGTTTCACTGGGTTTCCGTCGAGTGGCGAGAAGTGACTGATCGGCTGGCGCAGGTGTACGTACACCTGAGAAACCCGGAGTCAAGGCCAGCTCTGTGGCCGTTTCACGAAACGCCATTTATATTTATTTGCAAATTTTGTTGAGGAAACTGTTGAAATGAGTTTTAAGAGAAGTCTAAAGGGGAAAAGTGGAGAATGAACAGGTGCAGAAGGAGGACCCGGTGGCGGTCAATCCTGCACAGCCGTTCGCGGCTGTGGAAGCTGCAAATGGATCAAAGGGCTGCTCTGATGCAGAGAAAGCTGAAGTTTTGAGTTTGGTTTATTTTTGTTTATTTATTTTCAAAATAAATAATTCAAAATTCGAAAACGAAACCGCAGAAGAAGCCGCTCGCCGGACAGCCGCTGGACTTGCGGGCGCGGCGAGTGGACCGTTGCAACTTGAGCTGATCTTCCGGATTTTCCCGCGCTTTGCGGATTTTTAAAACAATTAAGCAAATTTAAAATGCAAAAAAATGCAATTGCACTATTAAAATGGACAAAAGAAGCCCCTTAGTCTTCGAAAAGGGGAAGTCCGCAGCAGGGCCTTCCGCGGCGGGCGCAGCGGCTGAAGCTGCTGCTGCTGCTGCCCGTCTGCTGCTGCTGCTGCGCGGAAAAGCTGCAGCAGCGCGTCTTGGTCCCTTTTATTATGTTTAAAAGGTCATTTTTTGTTTTCTCTGTGGCTTCTTTTTGCTTCATTTGGCTGAAATTGCGGAAAAGGAGGAGCTTCCTCGAGCCCGCAGCAGCTGCAGCAGCAAAGCGGCTCGACTGCAGCAGCACATGCACTGAAGTTCAGGCAAACAAAGCAGCTCCTTTCCCGGGCTTTCTTGACTTTCTTTCGCGGGCTTTTCTTGCAATCTGCAGGGCAAACAGGACCCAATCCGCCCTGCTGCTGCTGCTGCTGCTGCGCACAGCTTGCTGCAGACCCTGCGAGTCCTGGGAACCCTCAGCAGCAGCAGCAGCGCAGGCAGCTGCATGCGCTGCAGATGGAGGTGCCGGCCTACGCGGGCAAGGGGGCCCCCGGGGGGCCCCCCGAAGGTTTCGCGGCTGCAGCAGCAGCAGCAGCAGCAGCACGCAGCAGCAAAGATCAGGTGGGGGGAAAAGTCCCCCAGTACTTTTCTCTCCGCGGCAGCAACGCCTTGAGGGGCGGCCGCAGGACTTACAATGCCATGTGCCTCAACGACAACTGGTGAGGGTTTAGGGTTTAGGGTTTAGGGTTTAGGGTCTAGACTTTAGGGTTTGGGATTCCCCGGGTGTAGGGTCCCCAGGGCTGAGACATGGGGTTCAGAGGGCGCAGGCGAGGGCCCAGGGTTTAGGGTTTAGGGTTTAGGGTTTGGGGTGTGTGCAGGTACGAAGACCGTTTGAACCCGGAGTTGGCTCCGCAGCTGCAGCAGTTTGCTGCAGCAGAGCAGCAGCAGCAGCAGCGGGGGCCCTTCGGGCCGTGGGCCTCGGAGTACACTGTGGCCTATTCGCGGGGAAATTGGAAACTGCAAAACTTCAAACTCACCGACTCCAACATCCTTGCCTTCGACCAATCTTCGCCGCAGGACTGGACCTCGTGCTACCGAATCGACTACCGGTGAGACAGCTCCCCTGCTGCTGCTGCTGCTGCTGCTGCTGGCGGTGTTGGTGATGCAGATCGGCGAGGTGCAGCGTGCAGCAGTAGCAGCAGCAGCAGCTGGCTGCTGCGGCAGCGGCGTGGTGTCGAAGGCAGCACCGAGGTGCAGCGCGCAGCAGCAGCTGCAGGTGCTGCAGCAGCTGCTTCCGTGCCTCGCCAGTTTGCTGCTCTCGTGTCTGCTGCTGCAGAGCTAGAGCTTCCGCGCGTCCCAAACCCTAACAAACCCTAAACCCTAGAAACCCCAGAAACCCTAATCCAGGCGGCGGCGGCTCGGTGTCGGTTTTCTTGTTTTTTGTTTTTTTGAATTCAGCAATCGGCAGCAAGAAGAAGTGATGGCTCGCATGCAGGAATTGGAAGAAGAGAAAAGAAAACGCGAAATGGCAGAAATGAGGGCTCGGGCGGCGGCGGAGGCGCGGGTTCCTGTGTGGCCGTTGACTCCAGGTGCGTGTACACCCCAACTCTCGAGGTGGAAAGCGAGAGGAAATTGCAGGAAAATGCAAAATAGATTTCAAAAATGAATTTAATTCAATTTTATCTCTTCAAATATGCATGCAAATGCCTTTTTCGTTCGCTTTCCCGAAAATTCATGTCTTGCAAGTTTCAAGAGTAGTGGGTGGAAAGCGCAGGAAAGCGGCAGCAAAACGCAAAATTAGGAAACAATTTGAATTTAGTTGGACTTGAAATGTTCAAATGTTTCATTTTTCTGAATTTGAATTTAGTTGGACTTGAAATGTTGGAATGTATCGTTCTTCCGAATTTGAATATATTTCGACTCGAAATGTTCAAGTGTTTCATTTTTCTGAATTTGAATTTATTTTGACTCGAAATGTTCAAATGTTTCGTTTGTCTGAATTTGAATTTAGTTCGATTTGAAGCATTCAAATGTTTCATTTTCCTCATTTTTTTCGAAGTTCATTTTTTCGTTTTTCGCCTTTTTGCAGAAGCTGCTGCACGCCTGGCGGCCTCTCGCCAACACGCGGAAGAAGAAGCTGCGGCCTCTCACCGCTCCCAGCATTCTGCTGCTTCTGGCGGAGCTGCAGCAGCAGCAGCAGCAGCAGCAGCAAAGGGCCAGCAGCAGCGCAGCGGAGCCAAAGCGCCCGCGGGGGAAGAGAGAGGGCCCCCCAGACTTGCATGCAGCAGCAGCAAACAGGACTTCGACGAGCTGCAGCTAATTAAAAAGGAAGAAATTGAAAATCCCGAAGAAGAACTCGAAAGGAAAATGACAGAACTTGAAATTAATCCCCACGACAGGAAACCCGCGGGCAAGCCCTCTCAGGCCCAGGGCGTGCGCTTCGCAGGCCGCTACTACTAGCTGCAGGAGCTGCTGCAGCAGCAGCAGCAGCTGCTGCTGCTGCAGTGGGGACTGAAGCAGCAGCTGCTGGCGCAGGTGTGCAGTAGTTGCAGCAGCAGTTGCGTGTGCTCCAGCTGCTGCAGTCGAGGCGTTTTGAGCTATATCTTTTGCTGTTGCTGCTGCAGGCGTTGCAGCAGCAGCATTTGCTGCTGTGTGCGCAGCCAGCAGCAAATGCGAATGTGTTTGGATGTATTTGTTTCCTGGGGTCCGAAGGCGGCTCTGTCTGATGTGCATGCGTTTGAAAGGCTCTTTTGCTGCTGCTGCTGCTGCTGCTGCTTTTCTCTCGAGTGTACGTACACTGCAGCACAGCGCATGCATGCGCGCGCGGCGTGCTGTTGCGCCTCCGCCGCTTTTGCTGCTCTTTAGAAGTTAGCAGCACATTATTTCTTTCCCAAAACAAAAAGGGAAAATAAATTTATTTATCGGTTTTGGTGGCCACAGAACTTGTGGCGAATTCAAAAACTTTTAAAACTGCTGCGCCCGCCAGGTGTACGTACACCCCACGCTTCGCCTTTCCGGCGGCTGCATGCAAAGCGAAACAAATAGACTATAAATGCAATTATAAAAGAAAATAAAATAAAACTAGAGAAAATTAAATAATGATGCAATAAGAAGTGAAATATCAAGAGTCCTCGGGGCTTTCCAGGGACTGCATGTTGCAGCAAAAAGTGGAAAAGAGAAAATAAAAACAATTTGAATTTTCGTTTTTATTTGAATAAAAACGAATTTGAATTACTATTCAAAGAAAAGAATAGATTTGAAGTGTTGTTCAAGAAAAAGAAAAGAGAGTTTGAATTGGTGCTCATGTTTTGTTGAGAAAAGGCTTTAAGTGGCTGTCTTAAGGTGTCTATACACCCCAGCAGCCAAACTGGCGGGGGGAGAATTGTTCGGGTGTACGTACACCCCGTGTTTCCAGCGTCGGGGCCTAAAGAACTAATTTCATTAAAAACTTTAAAAGGTTTAAAGTTTTGTTGCTCTCTGAAACCAGCACAAGGCTGGCTGCTGCTGGGGGGCTTCCCCTGAACTCTCTTGCTGCTGCTGCTGCTGCTGCAGTCGAGGCAGCAGCAGCGAACAGCCAACGGGTCGCACAGCAGCAACTTGTCTTCTGCTGTTTCCCGTTCTCGCTGGGCTTCCCAGGCTGCTGCTGCTGCTGCTGCTGCTGCTGCTGCTGGGGGCCCAGGCCTTTACTGTTAGTTCAAAAGAGATAAAAGGAATAAAAGAAATGAAACAGATTAAAAAGAGAAAAAAGAAATGCAAAAGAAAACAAAACGCGCAAGAAGAGTCGCGAGACACCTGAGCCGCCACGGCGAGCGTCGCATTCAAGAACGGCCGAGGCGAAAGCTGGGCTCGAATTGGATTTAAATTTGCAAATAAAAATAAAAATAAAATAAAAAAGAAATAAAAGTAAAATAAAAGAAGCAAAGGCGGCGAAAACGGAGAAAAATACGGAAACACTTGTGCAGCAGCAGACACAAACCAACAGCAGGCGCTGGCGGTCTTCGCGCGCGCGGAAAGCGGCGGTTTGAAAAGCCCTGGAGACTTAAAAAGAATTAAGTTAAATAAAATTAATAAAATAAAACTAAAAAATAAACTTTTAAAGTTGTTTCCGAGTGGAATAGACGGCGGAAACGGGGGGCTGGCAGCGGCAGCCCCATGACTGTGTGGCAGGCGCTCGACGCTGTTTTTGCTGCTGCTGCGTTTTTGCTGCTGCTCGGAAGCTTTAATTGCATTAACTTGCAATAATTGAATTTGTTTAATGCAGAAAATGAATTAAAAACGACAAATTCCCCTCCAAACTGCACACCGGCGCCGCCGAGTGAGCGCCAGCTGTCCGCAGTGCGCCTTCTCAGGTGTACGTACACCCGAAACCCACCCCCTTCCACTTCCCCCTTCTTCCTTCTTCCGCCTCCATTTGTGTTTCTTTTTGCTTCCCGACGCGCAGCAGCAGCAGGGGAGCCCCGCAGCAGCAGCAGCTGCTGCTGCGTCGCCCAAAGGCAACTCTTTTGCTGCTGTTGCCGCCCTGCAGCTCTTCGTGGCTGCTGCGCTGCTCTCGGGGCCCTTTGCTGCTGCGCTGCTGCTGCGGCGCTCCGCCGCGCTGCTGAGGCCGTGGGGCTCGCCGCCGCAACAGCAGCAGCAGCAGCAGCAGCAGACAGGACTTGCCCGCTGCAGTGCAGCGCAGCAGCAGCTACAGCAGCAAGCAACAGCAGCGTCAAGCTCTGGGGTGCCCCCCAGACCTCATCAGCTGCAGCAGCAGCTGCGGCTGCTGCTTGGCAGCAGCTTCGGTGGGGAGTCCCTGGGCCTTCGTCTTCTTCGCAAGTCCCACTAGCTAGCTAGCTAGCTAGCTAGCTAGCTAGCTAGCCAGTTGCTCTCGAGTTGCTGCTGCTGCAGGCGGCCGCGCCTCAGTTCGCCCTGAGTGTGTGTTTGCTTCCCGCGGCTGCAGCGCTGCTGCAGCAGGCCTGCTGCGCGCGTTAGCAGCAGCAGCAGCAGCAGCAGCAGCAGCAGCAG